CCCCTTATTTTAACTTAAGCATTCCTTCCTTCTGATTTTCAGACAAAGCTTAACACTCTCAACCTATTGCCAACGAAAGAATCCCCAAACCCACCTATAGTTTGTAAACCCCTGCTTCCAGATGTCCCTCTTTTGGGGGCCAAACCAATATACACTGTCCACGTATTGATTTATGATTTTACCTGCACTTTCTGTCCTCCTGAAATGTATCAAAACAAGCTGCCTCGTTCAAGGATTCTTAGGTTTCTGCCCCTCATTTTCTGCAGAGAATCAACCTATTTAGAGAGTTTTGCTTTTTTCCGTTAACCACAGGCCTCAATTTAGTTTTTAAGAGGAGAAAGAAGGGACTGGGGACCCCACAGACCGCAGCCCCTCCCACGCACGACCCGCCGTCCCCCGCACACCCAGTCGGGACCCTCCCCCATGACCCTCCCGCCGTCACCACACAATCTGGGGACACGCGGAGCTGCCCAGAGAGGGCGCCTGGGCCGAGGTCGCCCCGCAGAGACGAACAGGACGCCCGGGGAGCCTGCTGCCGGGCCAGCCCCACCCCGCTGGCCTGAGGGACCGAGGGCCGAGCTGCGCCAGCGGTGACTCGGGTCCGCAGACTCAGGAGGCGACCATGGGGTGGCCCAAGTCCCGCCACAGCCGGTTCCAGCCGGTTCCAACAAGCCCCTGCTCCCGGTTTGGGGACGCCCGGCCCCGCACACTCACCATTTCCCGGCCTCCAGGTGTCCCAGCGTCCTCTCTATGGCTCCCGCGACCACTGCAGTCCACAGCACAGGTGAAGGCGCGACACAACCTGTGGTGGAGGCACCTGGGGACTCCCGGAGAGGCGAACCCCAAACCTCAAATGCTGCAAAGCAACACACGGGAGACAGCGGAGAGGTTAAAGATCACCTCCTACTTCCCCCCGCCGTTTGAATATACTCCTTACGGGGACCCGCCCCTTCTCCCCTGATTGGATAGGTCTCCAGGCCCCGCCCTCTCCGTCTTGACAGACAGGCGATGCGATGGGGGACTGGAACCTGCGGAGACTGACTGACAGGTCGTAGCCACAGCCTCGCCCCGATCCTTGGATATTTGCAATTCAGCGGAACTTTCTGCGCATTGGTAAAAGGGATATTGTCGCCTCTTCCTCACCCAATGGGCTGTCTGTCCCTGCTTCTTCCTCCTAAAGGTGCTCATAAGTGTGTGCAAGGAGTTCCAGACTCAGTGTCCAGTGGACACTGTCGCAAAGCAGGAGGGGACCCAGACCAGGCCAGACTGGAACAGGACAGAGAGCCCGATGTTCTCCTGGGGTCAGGAGTTTGGGATGAGGCATGGCCAAGGCTTCCCCCCTACCCTCCTGTCCCCTCCTCACAGTGAGGAAACGCGAAACTCTCATGTCGAGTCAGTTTACTTAAGCTTCTGACCCAAATAAACTGTCAAATTCATTAACCCTTTTTCCAGGAGAAACCCCAAACAAGTCTTTCTCTGAACCTGACCTTCACAGATATGTTTCATATTGGAAATTATTGAAATCACAGCCTGACCGCAGCGACCCTATGCATGCCACCACCAAAACACTGTCAAGAAAACGGACCCAGCACCAGAGCTGCAACCTCAGAAAGCACCGAATCCCTCAACCGCATCTGCACATGGGACCCGGGGACATAGTGGCGGGGCGGGCAGGAGCAGGAAGGAGGTTGCAGAGGCAGCTGCGGGTGGGGAGCAAGGGGCGGCCGATCAGATGACGGACTGGGCCCCGCAGCAGAACTGGCTCCATGGCCCGCGGCCCCGGGAGGGGTAAGTTGGGGGATCCGAACAGGTCGCGAGGAGAGTCTGGAGCTCTGCGTCGAGCCGGGGTGGGGGAGGAAAGGGGCGTTGGCACTGCTGGGGCCCGAGGCCTAGGGATTTGCTGCTGTCCCGGAGGAGGAAGTGGGGTTGGGGTTTGGCGCGCAGCCAAGACAGTGTGTATGGGGGAAGGGGCGTCGGTGCGGGGGGAGGGGATGGAGCGCCGAGGGTGGCTGGATCGTTCAGACTGAGGGTGGGGCGCCCTGGACGGAATAAGTGTCTGGCCAGGTTGTGGGGACAGGCCAGAGAGTTTGTGAGGCGAGTCTGGGTGTGTTGCGGGGACCCAAGGCGACTGGGGCTACTTAGGGAGCTGGGAGGGGGGTTAGAGGGAAGGGTATGGAAACAAAATTTGTTTGCGCGCGGCCCAGGAGGGGGAGCCAGGAGCTAAGGGGCTGCAGAGGGTATGTTGTGACTGTGTGTGCCCTGTCAACGTAAAACAGTGGATAGGATCAGAATTCACTTTTAAAGAGTTTATTGAAGCAAAAGGTTGGAAATCGCCATTCGAGAAAACACAGACTCCGGAGAAATGGGCTCGGTGCTGCAAAGATAAAAGTTAAATTATTGTTCTGCAAACATGTCGCCATGAGGGGCGCAGAGCGTGCTGTGATGGCCTGCAACCGGTGTGTGTTCAGGAGTTCAAGACCAGCCTGAACAAGAGCAAGACGCTGTCTCCACAAAAAAAATGGAAAAATTAGCCAGGCATGGTGGCATGTACCTGTAGTCCCAGCTACTCGGGAGGCTGAGGCAGGAGGATTGCTTGAGCTCAGGAGTTCGAGATCAGCCTGAGCAAGAGCGAGACCCCCTCTCTACTATTAAAATAAGAAAGAGCACATTATCTGAACAAGAAAGTGTTACTTGGAAGAGTGATGCTGATTTTGTTCCTACCAAGGCTTGTATTCAGACAATTACATAACATATAGATCTCATTTAACTCAATAAAATTTCTAAAAAAAATTACATAGCTTACTGAGAAATTAGTGAATTTACATATTTTAATTGAGGTATTTTATGGAAAACAGGGTCTATACATTGTCACAAGTAATTTTGGGTTTAGAGAATAAGTAGGGTAAAAACATGCCTCAAGTCTGGGAGCTGGCCTCCCCTCACCACAAGGACAAGTCTTATGCTGTTGGAGAGAAAGACATCAGATACCTGCAACATGAAACAAAGATCCTCAGTGACCATGACGGATCAAGACATAAACAAGGACATTCTGCAAGTATGTCTCTAAATTTAATAGAAGAGTACATTCCAAATCAAACATGTGACCAAAATTCCCCTCTTCTGATATTGTGACTGACTGGCAATTCTAATCATTTAGGGATACCTCCATTCCATTTTTCTGCCTTCTAGGCAACAATTATGCTAGGGTAGAATTAAGTTCACATCCTGAGAGCATTCAATACACAGAAATGACTCAATCCCTTGAATAGCAATCAATGCACTTAAAACGCAAATCTTAACAAGAATTTCTATTGAGAACCCTCTTACTGATCTATTCCACAATCATTTATGGCTCACAGTCATATTTATTACTACAATTTATTATGTCCTCTTTGGCAACAGGTATGGTACTGGTGATCTTTGACAATAGAGCACTCATAACAGCATGATTTAGATTCTCGGATTATGAGTGAAGGATAAGATAAAAATAGTAAGCATATAGCATGAAAAGTAAAATTTACAATTCAAAAAAATGAAGTTTACACACATAGTAATATGGACTCGCAATATCAAAGGAATAATTTGGTATCATTATAACTTGATCTAACCCATGATGGCAATAAGACATTTTAATATATCACCTCAGTAACTGAAAAAGAGCGTAACATTTGTTAGTATAAAAGTTGTTAAAAACAATTGATATTTCTAGGAAACAGACAGAAATCTTGTTGGCCAAAAAAAGACATATTATGTTTCATGACATAAAATCAAACATAATTGAAAATGAACAGAGGCATTACATTTAGCAGTGGAAAATAGTAAACACACAAAATTTCCTTGTAAGAGGAAGGGGCTCATTCTCACATGAAAGTTCTGGGTGAGGGCAGTTCCTGCACGTTGCAGTAGAAGAACAAGTTTCCATTCAGTTGTTTTTGATGGCAGCATTGTAGGTGTCATGCTGATTCAAGAACACAGTCACTACCAGTGGGAACAATGATGTTTGCATACAAATTATCCCTTATAACAAATCAATCCACAGACTAGCAGAATGGAGCGCGAGAATATTTCCACCCCTGGCAGTTGGAATCAGCTCTCTGGTAAAGACATTATAATGACTGAAAAAAAAGAGCCAACCACAAAATCTTTTTTTTATTTTTGCAAAAATTATTTTACTCTTCTTTCAATTCTCTTCAATTTCCATACTACCACAGATGGATCTTTAATGTGGAACTTCTAGGAACCTCTTTGGAAACCTATACCTCTGAGAAAATGGAAGTCATGTGATTTTGAGGATACTCTTTGATGGGCAAGCCAAGGATTCAGGAAAATGGGTTTGAAGCAGGTGTCTGTACAACCCGTATGAATCTGGCTGTCTCCCTGTCTAAAATGTGACTAATGCCTGCCTCATGTCTGCCTTTGAAATCTCACATAAATGAGCTATTGGTGAACTGTATCATGGAATTATTCAACTCCAACTCTAGACTTTATTATCCTATCACAGATCTCTCTTCTCAAATCAAAAGTCAATTATCTCATACGGTGTTTCTCCATTCTATTATTTGGTGTTTGAAAGAAACTGGGAAAAGTGAATGCTTTCCAAACTCCTTACAATAATAGGATTTCTCTCATACATTAACAGCATGAGTTTTTTCATGTCTTCGACAGACACTGGAACGAATGAAGGCTTTCCCACATGTCTTACATGCATAGGGTTTCTCTCCAGTATGAATCCTTTCATGTATTCGAACACACTTGGCAGACATGAAGGCTTTACCACAATGCTTACATTCATAGGGTTTCTCTCCAGTGTGAGTCCTTTCATGATTTCGAAAGGAAATGGAAGACCTGAAGGCTTTACCACATAGTTTACATTCATAGGGTTTCTCTCCAGTGTGAGTCCTTTCATGTATTCGAATCCACTTGGAAGACCTGAAGGCTTTACCACAGTGCTTACATTCATAGGGTTTCTCTCCAGTGTGGGTTCTTTCATGATATTTAAAGGAAGTGGAACAACTAAAGGCTTTACCACATTGTTTACATTCATAGGGTTTCTCTCCAGTGTGAGTCCTTTCATGTTTACGAAAGGAAGGGACACAATGAAATGCTTTCCCACATTCCTTACATTCATAGGGCTTCTCTCCAGTGTGTGTCCTTTCGTGAATATGAAGGGAACTGGGAAAATTAAATGCCTTCCCACATTCCTTACATTCATAGGGCTTCTCTCCAGTGTGTGTCCTTTCATGTAGTTGAACGTTCTTGGCAGACCTGAAAGCCTTACCACAGAACTTACATTCATAGGGTTTCTCCCCAGTGTGAATTCTTTCATGATATCGCAAGGAAGTGGAAGAACTGAAGGCTTTACCGCATTGCTTACATTCATAGGGTTTCTTTCCATCGTGACTTCTTTCATGTGTTTGAAATGACTTGGGAGAGTAAAAGGCTTTCCCACATATCTTACATTCATGAGGTCTGTCTCCAGTGTGCATTCTCACGTGCCACTGAATGCTCCTCCGCTGAGCAAATGCTTTCCCACATTGCTCACATTCATAGGGTTTTTCTCCAGTGTGCGTCCTTTCATGTATAAGCATGGAACTGAAATGAATGAATGCTTTCCCACACTCCTTACATTCATATGGCTTCTCTCCTGTGTGAGTTATTTCATGTACTCGTACGGAACCAGAGGTACGGAAAGCTTTACCACATTGTTTACACTTACATGGTTTCTCTCCAGTGTGAATTCTTTCATGTTTACGATATAAACTGCGAAAAGCAAATGCTCTTCCACAAAGCATACATTTATGAGGTCCATCTCCACTGTGCATTACCATGTGATTTCGAAAGCCTGTGAGAGAACTGAAGGTTTTTCCACATTCCTTACACTCATAGGGTTTCTTTCCAGTGGGAGACCTTTCACATGTTCCAAAGGAGTGCCGATAACTGAAGCCTTTCTCATGCTGCTTATGTGTATATGGCTTTTGTCCACATCCCTTATACTCAGATGGTTTATGGGCAGTGTCAGCTCTAATGAGCCTATTAAAAGAATGATCAATGGATATTTTTCCAAACACACTGCTTTCACATAGTTTTACTCTAGGTGGAGTTTTCTTGTTCACCATGTCATCTGGAACCTGGTTGAAAGTTTCTCCACGTTGACTACCTTCTTTACTTTCACAGACTCTCTCTTCAATAAGACTTCTGTGGAAAATGAGAAGCACATTATTAAGGCTTTGTTTATAAATGATTTCTTATTTTTTAGTAAGTATTGTACTTGCATTTTTCACATTCTCAAGGAAAGGTGAGGCTTTCTGTACTGTATGAATTGTCCAACGTGAATGGACCAAATGCTCTGCAAGATAGCTAGTCTATACCTACTATGAAAAAAAATATTTATATACAGTGTCTTAATACTATCTCAAGGTAAACTATTTCACCAATAACAAACATCTGTGTCAAATTTAAGAATATGTTCTCAGAGAAAATTTTCTAAAGATAAATAAATTTGATGTTGGGCTTATTTGTTTTGTTTGCCTGTTTTTAACATTTCCTGACATGCTAAGATTTTTTTGAGAGACATTGCTTTGTCTTGTTAGTATAAATTACCTTATTTTTCTCCTGGGATTTTTACACTGATCTTCAATGTTCTGGTCTTTCCATTTTTTTCCTAAAATACAGATCCAGAAATATAGTCCTGAATTATTACAATTATGAAAAAACTATTAGATTCTATGTTCATTGTACACTGTGGACATGCCTGATTTATACACTAAAGTATTCTTTGTCCATTTTCCGAAACACTGAACGGCACTTATGAGCAAGAAACACTTGATGTCTAATTCACTGAGTGAAGCAATATTGTCACCCTTACCTATAGCTGCCAGGTTCCTGAAGGTTTCCTGCATCACATCTCTGTAGAGATTCTTCTGGAAAGGATCCAGCAAAGTCCACTCCTCCAGGGTGAAGTTCACAGCCACATCCTCAAAGGTCACTGAGTCCTGAAACATCCCACATGTGTAGAGGAGGATGGATGAGATTCATAGCCCTGGGGACCTATGCTCTACTGCTAAGAAGTTCATATGATGCTGTGGACTCCAAACATTTGTTCCATGACTTGGTCATCAGACTTTTACTCTCTGTCTACACTCACTTCCTCCCACAAAGTAGTTCTAATGGTAGAATGGAACTATTGGGTAAAGCAAGAGCAGAATAGGAAAACGTGTCTTACTGGCGAATCCAGGGAGAAAGATGTACTGCCTAGGTCGCCCTTAATATCTCTTTGTACGTTGGGTCTGTACCACCTGTCATAACGAAATCCTACTAATTAATGTGTAGAACAGAGTAAGTATTATCAATTGTGAGTATGAGTATCCTCAAGGTATTTTGGACAAATTGAGAAGTAAAAATTCCAGAGAGCCAGTCTTAACAAAAAAGCAAGTATGGTTTATTGAAATTAACGACATTTGTGCCTCAGAGGACATTAACAACAGATGGAAAAGGCAATCCATGAAACTGGAGAAAATATTCACAAATCATATGTCTGGCAAGCTCTTAATATTAAGAACACATAAAGAACTCCTAAGCCTGAACAACTTGTTTTTTGAGACAGAGTCTCACTCTGTTGCCTGGGCTAGAGTGCCGTGGCATCAGCCTAGCTCACAGCAACCTCAAACTCTTGGGCTCAAGTGATCCTGTTGCCTCAGCCTCCCGAGTAGCTGGGACTACAGGCATATGCCACCATGCCCGGCTAATTTTTTTTTCTCTCTATTTTTTAATTGTTCAGCTAATTTTTTTCTATTTTTAGTAGAGACAGGGTCTTGCTCTTGCTCAGGCTGGTCTCGAACTCCTGACCTCGAGCGATCCTCCGGCCTCATCTTCCCAGAGGGCTAGGATTACAGGCGTGAGCCACCGTGCCCGGCCAGATATTTTAAACGGTATAGTATAAGGTAGTCATTTGGTGCTTTCCTCATATGAAAAATATTCATGTAAACTAAATATAAAATTTTTAAATAGAGCCAGTATTTTCTCTGTGTCAGTCTTTTGAACAAATTATGTTGGAATATCTGGACCACAATATGCAAAAATGTGAATTAGACACAAAACATATAACTTTTTTTTTTTTTTTTTTGAGACAGAGTCATGTTCTGTGGCTCAGGCTGGAGTGCAGTGCTGTCATCATACATCACTGCAACCTTCAACTCCCAGGCTCAAGTGATCCTCCTACCTCTGCTTCTCAAGTAGCTCAAACTATAGGCACACACCACCAGCTTGGTTAATATTTTTTCTATTTCTTGTAGAGACAGAGTCTTGCTATGTTGCTTAGGTTGGTCTCAAACTCCTGGCCTCAAGTGATCCTCCTGTCCCAGCCTCCCAAAGTACTGGGATTATAAGTGTGAGCCACCAAGCCCGGCCAAAATTTTCACAAAATTAACTCAAAGTGCATCATCAACCTCTATGGAAAACGCAAAATCCAAAACTTCTAGAAGATAACACAGGTCAATATCAAGAAGACCTTGGATTTGGCGAGAACGTTTCACAGGCACAGCAAAGCAAGATCTGTGAATGAGAAAATTGATAAATTGGACTTCATTCAAATTGAAACTGTTTTACAAAAGACACTGTTAATAGAATGAAAAACAGGCTGCAGACTGAGACATAATATTTCCAAAATGTCTATCTGATAAAGGACTAGTAAATAAAATATATAAAGAACTCATGAACCTCAAGAAGAAAACCACCAACCAATTAAAAAATAAACATAAGCTCTGGAAATAAATCTGATCCTTGAAGAAATATACATAACAAGCTCCATCTCAGGTCATTAGACAAGAGCAAACGAAAACAAAAATGGAGGTCTACCTAGCAGCATGTTGGTCGATAATAAAAATAAATAAATAAACAATAGGTTAGGGGGAAAAAAAAAAAGGCCAAGCCCAGTGGCTCATACCCCTAACTGCAGCCCTTTTGGAGGCCAAGGAGGGAGGATTGCTTGAACTCAGGAATTTGAGACTAGCTTGGGCAACATGGAGACCCCATCTCTACAAAAAACTTAAAAAATTAGTCAGGAGTGGTGGTGCCTACCTGTACTCCAAGCTACTCAGGAGACTGATGTGGGAGGATCACTTGACCCAAGGAGCTTCAGGTTTCAGGGAGAAAGGATCACATCACTGCACTCTAGCCTTGGCAACAGAGCAACACCCTGTCTCTTAAAGAAAAAAAATCCTAAAAACTGATTTCTATTAAAATTAATTTTCTTGGCTGGGCATGGTGGCTCACATCTGTAATCCTAGCACTCTGGGAGGCCGAGGCGGGAGGATTGCTCAAGGTCAGGAGGTCGAGACCATCCTGAGCAAGAGCGAGACCCTGTCTCTACTAAAGCTAGAAAGAAATTAGCTGGACAACTAAAAATATATAGAAAAAATTAGCCGCGGGCATGGTGGCGCATGCCTGTAGTCCCAGCTACT